GTGATAGAAGTTCCACTTCATCACAAGTCGTTGGTCCATATGTTGGGAATTCCAGAACTCGACCAAAATCATTGACATGGCAGGTAAACATCGTGCCAAAGACTAAGGAGGTAAAACGATGAGATTGAATACCCAAAGACCGAAAATTGGAGTAGAAAAACCTGATAGCATCTTCAGACATTACATGAGTTTGGTTTTTATTGAGCAGAAGATAGTCCCATCCAAGATTTCTGATGTAGTCACTGATGACGACTCTCCAATCATCTGGAGACAGAATTGTAGAAGGGGCAACCTCACGATCTCGAAAATAGACAGCATGCAGTGTTGATTTGGTAGGATTGGCTCGACAAAGAAGGTGCATGTTTGGGTTATGATGAGGGAGTCAGACATGGTGAGGTCGGCTTGAAGAGAAATGGGGATGGGAGTGAAGATGTAGGGAACGAAGGCATGACAATTTATAATAGAAGAGGATATGAGAGAATATGGTAAAGCTAAGGAAAGAACACTCATGAGGAAAGCCAAGTCAAAAAGAAATAATTTCAAAGCAAATAAACACTACATACAACACACCAAAGCGGAAAGGAGATCAATTAGTATCCAAGATTGAGCTTGACCGGATCCCAATCTCATAACAGAGGAAGGTAAATCAATCAACCAAAAGGGGTTTTGTAAACAAATTGGCTAATTGAATTTCTCTGGGAATGTGTTGAATGTTAATTGTGCCCACCTGAACTAATTATTGTATAAAATGATACTTAATTTCTATATGCTTGGTGCGAGAATGTTGGACAGGATTTTTAGTCATGCAAATTGCACTAGTATTGCCACAAAACATTTGAATAGATGCAAGTTTATGACCATAATCTAGAAGCTGAGTACATGTGCTACCGGCAGCTATATACTCAGCCGCGACAGTTAATAAAGCAATGACTCCTTGTTTTTTACGAGACCACGATACTAATGAAGTCTCAACAAATTGGCAACTACCTATTGTACTCTCCCTATCGGTAAGACTTTCGGCGAATTCGGAATCACTATACCCAAGAAGATCAAAATGGTTTTGCTTAGAATACCATAATCCTACATTAATAGTACCCATTAATAGTACCTTTTAGATAACTAAAAATTCATTTAACAGATATATGAATTTCCTTGGGTTGACATTGAAATCTAGCGCATAGACATACACTATATTGTATATATGGGTGCAGTCAGATAGAGAAGAAACCCTATCATGCCTCTATATTTTGATTCATCTACTGCCACACCGGTTTCATCTTTCTCAAGTTTAAGATTTGTGGCCATGTGAGTAGCGCTGATATTTAGGTTTGTCATATTAAATTTTGTGAGTATGTTGGAGATGTATTTAGATCGGTTGATGAATATTCCATGTTCATTTTTTTGGATTTGAAGACCAAGAAATAATTTCAATTCACCCATCATGCCCATTTCGATAACAGTTTTCATTGAGTCACAAAATTCAGTGCACATTGATTGACTTGTGGAGCCAAAAATATCATCAACATATATGTGAACTAAAATCAGATCCCTTGATGTTCATTTTATAAATAGAGTTTAATTAACTAAGCCTTGATTAAACTTTTGATCTTGTAGAAAAGATGTAAGACGATCATACCAAGCTCGAGGAACTTGTTTGAGAACATAAAGAGCTTTACTAAGTTTAAAAACATGATCAGGGAATTCGGGATTAACGAATCCTGGGGCTTGCTCTCCGTAAACATCTTCTTGAATAATGTAATTCAAGAAAGCACTTTTAACGTTCATTTGATAGAGAAGATATTTCATATAGCATGCGAAGGCACAAAGTAATCAAATGGATTCTATCCTAGCAACATGAGCAAAAGTTTCATCATAGTCAATTCCTTCTTCTTGTGAATAACCTTTAGCCACTAGTCTATATTTGTTACGAGTTATAAATCCCTCTTCATTTGATTTGTTACGATAAACCAATTTGGTCCCGATGACAGGATGGTCTATAGGCCTAGGAACCAGATCCCACACATGCAAATGTTCAAATTGGGGGAATTCCTCAACCATAGAGAAAGACCATTCTTCATCTTGAATAGTTTCCTTAAAGTTTTTAGGCTCAAATTGGGACACAAAAGCATACTGGTCAGGGATATACTTACCTCGAGTATGACGTCCATCATTAATGTTGCCAATGATCTAAGTAGAAGGATGTCGCTTCTGAATTTATGCTGGAGCTGTCAGAGTATCTTCTGGAGCTGGGTTTTCAGTTTCAAATTCTGGTCCACCCGAGTCGACTTCAAGAAGGTCGACCGAGCCAGGGATAATAGCAGGTGTGGAGACTGGTGCAGTATTCTCCTGATTCATTGCTACCTCATGTGTCGTAGCTGTTGCGGGAGAGACCAAAAGAGACAACGTCAGGGGTTCTTTTGTTAAAGACCCTAAAGGCTTGACCTTTGATAGAGTATCCTAGGCAAATACCTTCATCAGACTTGGCATCAAATTTTCCTAATTGGTCCTTAATATTTAGGCAGTAGCATTTACACCCAAAATGATGGAAATAGGAAATACTAGGTTTCCTACATTTAAAAAGTTCATAGGGTGTCTTATGTAGAGGTTTTTGATTTAAAACTTGATTACCAATATAGCAGGCTATGCTTACACCCTCAGCCCAAAAATACATAGGTAAACCATACTCAAGTAGCATAGTCCTAGCACATTCAATCAGCGTCCGGTTTTTTCTTTCCACAACCCCATTTTGTTGGGGTGTACGAGGGGCAGAGAAGGTATGATTGATTCCTAAGGAATAAATGTTTGAAATTTCAAAAAGGCCTCACTTTTATGCGCAAGAAAAATACACCCAAGTGTAGCGAGAAAAGTCATCAACTAGTACAAATGCATAATTCTTACCACCTGGACTGGAAACATTGCATGGACCAAAGAGGTCCATATGAATGAGTTCGAAAATGGATGAGGTTGTAATTCCATACTTGGGTTTGAAAGATTGTTTAACGTGTTTTCCTTGAACACATATATGACAGAAAAAATCAAATTTATCTTTAAATGAATGAATGCCACGAACTAACTCAGATTTAGACAATTTAGACAGAATAGATAAACTGACACGACCTAACTTATGATTCCATAGGAGTTCCTAGTGAGATGCAGCTATGAAGCATGTTTCACTAAACTGATCTAATTAATGTATGGAAATTTATAACATACATATTGTTTTGACGTTTTCCAACGAATGGGATGTTGTGAGCTTGCGAGCTTTCAACTACACAACGAGAAGCCTCAAAAACCACTTTATAACCATTGCTACATAGTTGACTTATGGAGAGTAGGTGACGTTTTCCAACGAATAGGATGTTGTGATCTTGTGAGCTTTCAACTACACAACCAGAAGCCTCAAAAACCACTTTATAACCACTGCTACACATTTGACTTATGGAGAGTAGGTTATGTTTAAGACCCTCTACCAGCAAAACATTTTGAATGACAGGAAAAGGTTCTCGTCCTATAGTACCACTACCAATAATGTTTCCAGACCTATCATCACCAAAGATGAATTTACCACCATTCTGAGGAGGAGTGAGCTAAATAAATGTTCTGTGCCAGTCATGTGATGGGAACAACCACTATCCATATACCAGTGGTGCTCATCATTCATGTCTAAGTCAAATTTAGTTATTTTGAAGGCAAGTTCAATTGTAGAGTGAGTATAATTACCTTCTACATTTATGGCATAGGCCATGAATGCTTCCTCGTCTACCTGATCATCATCAGACTCGGAATCGTAGTCACTCCAAAAAGCCATCATGGCTTTCTCTTTGGCTTTGAAGGTGAGAGGACAATGAGTACGTATGTGCCCTAGTTGTCCACACTTATAGCAGCCTTGAGGTTCCTTATTTGAAGTACCTGCATCCACATCTTTGGTCTGCCAATAGGGCAGCCTATCTTTGAAACTAGAGTGAGGTTTATCATGAATGTTGAATTTTCCAGATGTGTTACTGAACTGTGTTTGCTCATTCTTATGTTTAATCATTCATTGAAGACGCTTACTAAGAAAAGCAATTTCCCTATCAAGATCAAGAGGCGAATCATCTTCAGATTCATCTTGGTAGACTCTAGTTTGAAAAGCCAGATTATTTTGCCTCTTATCTTCACCATGAACTTGCCTAACGACGTGATAATGGCTTAATAATGAAGCAATTAATTCATCAACTGGTAAGGTATTTAGATTTTGAGCCTCTTCTAACGCCGTTCTTTTAGGTAACCATTCCTTAGGCAATGAAGGGAGGATCTTTCGATTTATATCCTTACTTACGAAAGTTTTTCCTAAACCCTTTAATTTGTTTAGGATGATAATAAAGCGAGAATACATGGACTGAATCTCCTCACCTGGGTTCATGACGAATATCTCGTTCTCCTGCATCATGAGAGCGATCTGTGTCTCCTTGATGTTTGAGGTTCCCCTGTACGTCTTCTCAAGCGCAGTCCAGATCTAATGAGCATTGTCGCAGTACTCGATCTTGTCCGCCACGGTCACCGCCATGGCAGTGTGGAGGATGTGCATCGCTCTTTTGTTGAGATGGGTGCTCTTTTCTGGGCATCATTCCAGCTGGATTGCTGGGCAAAATCCATTTTGATAGGACCATCACTGAAAATTGCCCAGAGAGCTTCATCGACTGCCTAGATGAAGGTTTCCATTCAGTGCTTCCAGGAGGTGTAATTGGTTCCTGTGAACAAATGAGGGTGATGCTATGATGCATGACCAAAGACAGATGATCTTATGATCGATTCCCTTGGTAGTAGGGCTGGTAATCGGTCGGTTACCGGTTAACCGGTAACCGACTAGCCGGTATACGGTATATCGAATATCACAAAACAGCAGCCGAATACCGATACTGATTCCTACTCGGTTACCCGACTAACCGGATAGCCGGTTACCGGTTACCAACCGGCTAACCGCAAAACCGCCAAATTCCTCGGTACCATCACCCCACACGATGGAAGCAACGCCTTTCAACGATGAGATTGCGACGAAATCAGGGGGGATTGGCCATGCAGATGTTGTTCCTCCTTTGCTGCAGATCTGGAATCGAGTGGGAGATAGAGCGGTGCCAATATGGAGATTCAGTGACCTAGGTCGACGATTTTCTGCCGGGGATTTGCCGGGGAAGATGATGATGCGGCTGTATGTAGGCGAAAGATGGTTCGAATGGAGAGAGGAGAAGGAGAAGAGAAGATTTCTGTCGAATTGGAAATTTGGGACTGTGACTGGAGAAGATTCCATCGAAAGGGAAAGATGACCGACGAATATTATTTCTATCGAAGGGGGAGATTCGATTGGGGAGACGAGAAGATTTATTTATTTGAACATGGAAGATTTGGTTTGGATTGGAGAGAAGAGAAAGGCGGCAGTCCTCTCGTGGTGAAGGGAGAAGAGAAGGACAATAGGGAACGGTTTGGTGAATCGGCAGGAGGAGGGGCTATTGTTTTGTAATTATATATGAGGGTGGTTTCGGTTATCGGTATACCGAATAACCACCGATTATTAACCGGATTGAATCCGATATACCGAGTATACTATTTTGGCTACCGTATACCGGTACCGCCGGTTAACGGTATAACCGATAACCGGCGGTTACCGATTCGGTTACCGGTTATACCATTAACCGCAAAACCGGTTACACCCCTACTTGGCAGTATGTAGCTCCATCAAGGGATTGGCTCTGATACCAATTGTAATTGAAGAGAAGGGTTTAGGGATTGCAAGTTCGGGACGAATAGGGAAGGAGAAGAACGAAATAAAGGAGAAGTCCTTCTATTTGTTCGTATTCCCCCCTCAGTCTAGGCCCACAACTTCACAAAGCCCACACAGATACTAAGAACAGAAAACTAAAACGGAGATGGGCTTAAGGACTATTAAGCTCAGCTGAAATAACCAAAATGGAAGAACACCTCAGTTTGTCTTCTTCCTTGGACCAGTGTCCTTGGAAAATAGAGTATCAGTGTGCAAAACAGAGTAAGAGAAGGAAGTTGAGGAAATTGAAAGAACACACGATATATTTAACGTGGTTCACCCCGGTGCAATGGGCTACGCCCACCCCTACGACTCTAGTTCTTATTGTTTAGATGTTCTAACTTGCAAATACAAATAAAAAATCAAAATGCAATTGCAAAAGAAAGATACAAGAAATAAAATAGAACAATGAAGAAAACACCATAAATTCCAACTCCGAAATTTGTATCAGCCACTAGCAAAGAAGCTCTTCCTCTTTGCTAAATTCCTTTGTTTATAAGCCCTTTACCGCTCTCTCATAAAGTGCCTTTGAAGCATGAAGATCCAGCTCCTTTTATAGACGAGGATGGTGAGTGAATGGTGACTCTTGTGAGTTGGAAACACCTCATCCTTCCTATTTTAGCAATGCTTGATTGAAGGAGTGATTCTTGAGCTATGATTAATTTTGACTTGAAACACTCACTCCCGACCAGTGGGGCCAAGACCATTTGGTAAAAAATATGTGCACAACCATCAACACTCAACCCTATCGCCTCTTCACCATGGCGCCAACCTGTAAATGCTAGAGTTCACGGGATGGTTGTCATCACTAGCTTGTCCGCAGGTCTTAGACACGGGTTGAAATAACTGCCAATTGTCTTAGAGATGGGGAGAAGTCCTTTTGGGTGGTGGCAAACATACCATGAGATCCTACATCTTCAACCTAAAACTAAAGGTTCCATGGTTTGACTAGAACCTTTCCTACAATCAACAGCCACTAGCAAAGGCCAAAAACTACTCTTCCTTTCTCCCAAACCATTACCAACCATGAACTACATTCAAGCACACTTCCTCGGTCTATTCTTGCTATCCACATCTCAATCATGGTAGTGAAGGAGGTTTAGAAATACTTAGGTGTTTCAATGGCTTGAGTGCCAAGAAACCCTTTCTAGAGCATACACTTAGACTTATGTGGCAACACTCTACTTTTATTTACCCTGTTTTATTACCTCTTTTTCGTTTCCTTCTTTTTTTACTTTACTTTCCATTTTTTTCTCTCTTTGTTCCCCCAAGGGGGGGGGGGGGTACGAGAGAGTTAAACACTTGCCAACTTAACACTTAACAAACAATGCTCACTATTAATAACTTCCTTCAGCACTACGTTTTCATTCCTAGCAAGAATCGCAAAATCCACCTATGTAGAACCTCAATGGAGCTTAAGAGTGAGAGCTCCGAGACACAAGGACAACTTACATCGGTTTAGACATGAAGAAAGAATCAGGGGTCGTTCTATCAATCATCATTAAGCTCAACAAGCACAAAGCTCCTAACATTAGAACGACCACTAAAGTGACACAGCTCAAAGGGGTTTACTACGAGATAAGATGTTTCGAGCAATCAAATTTTTGGCATGGACTAATCCTATGCCTCCATCATACTCACTAGTGATAATGGTGAATGTTACTTGTCATGGTAAGAGGGATCTAAACATAGAAGAAGAAGATGATCGACACAAAACTCACATGGCTACCTAATCGCCCAATCGTCTATGCAAGGCAATTGTGATAAAAGAGTAACCAAGTCAAGTCATCCATTCATTTACGCATACTTGAGAACTAAAATTTTGCACACACCTAATGCAATTCTTAGTCATCATCATAGGACACACTCAATCACATGCAATCGGTTCACGGTCAATGCCAATAAACACGAGATTCACCCAGACAATTTGATCATACAACGCTTGGAGCCCTCAAATTTGAAAATTTGGGCATATATCAAAGCTCCAAGCAATCAATCACAAACACAAGCACAATAATAAACTCCCCCCCCCCCCCCCCCCCCCACACACACACTTAAGCTCGACATTGCCCTCAATGGCATAAAATATAGGGTAGAGCAATGTTACCACTAGGCTTGGCGAGTGAAATTGGGACGGTTTCCAGGGGTAGGAGATTTGAGATTATAAAGAGGAGGAGCAAAGACACAAAACACAAGCACATTCTTGCTCGAGGCGAGGTTCTTATACATAACAATATTCCACATCACGATAAAAAAAACTCACAAATGTACTAGTTCACTCACAAAAGAAAAGAAGAAAAAACAGAGCTCAGGGTTTCAAGGGGATAAGTGGGGTTAAAGAAATCGGATCTGCCACATGTCTCACTCGGTCTACTACCTCTCGCTGGTCACGAGTCAGTCCTCCTCCTTGTAATCGTGCAGGACACCCTGCTTGCGAGCAATCTGCACCAGAAGGTCGGTAGAGTGATCCAGGCGGGTGTTAACCCTCATGACCTGTCCTCCAAGTGCGTGACTCGGTCCACCAACTAGACTCCGAATAAGGAACCAGCTCCGGCTGATGATGATGGTGGTGGTGGTGCGGCACGACGGTGACGGCCTAGAGCTCGAGTAGCCCCTAGTGGAGTTGAGAAACCCTCAATATATTGACATGGTACAAATAATTGAAGTAGGTTCATGGAGTCCAAGGTGTCCTCCCCGAAGCACGACGAACGACCTTTTGTGCACCACTCGAGGTAAACATGAAAATGTCGAGCAATCCGTGTGATGTAGGGTCCCAATGACATTATCTTGTTTCAATGATTGCCTTTGGCTTTGCTGAAGGATCTTGCTAGGACGGAACCGAGGTGGAGGCGATGATTTGGGTCCGTCATGGTAGTGAAGGAAAAAAGGGCTCTCTCGGTGATCTTGTTGGCAGACATGTAGCTCGGGAAGATGGAGTGGGCAAGGAGCGTGTTGATGGCACGCCATTGGGCATGAGTGTGGTTGTCGCGGTGCGTGCGGGTTCAAACCGGGTTACTCTCTTCTTTGGTAGGCAAAACCTCTCAAAAGCCGCCCAGAAGTCAAAGCTTTGTATGGCATCCACCTCTAACGCGGCAAAATGCTGTGTTTCAATAATTTCTGGAACTACCCTCATTCACGGTCTCCACCCGATTATCACGGTCGCTAAGACCGTGATAATGAGGCTAAAATCGTGAACTGAGTGAAAAAAGGGCATTTCCAAAATTTCAAAGCTCGACCTAATCAACTGTGCCCCTAATTTAAACACACTAAAAAACCAATCAATCAGACACAACATGCTGGCACGATGATAACCATTCATCCACTTGAACTCTTCACTCAATCACAAAAAGAGAAAATAACAAAAAGAAAACAAACCAACGTTGGGTTGCCTCCCAACAAGCGTTAAGTTATCATCACTAGCTTAACGTTGTGAATCTATCATGTTTGAGAGCACGAAACCTCTGAGAGTGGATCTGCCATGGTCTCGGGGCAAGGTTTGTCACCTCCCAACTTAAGCTACAAAGGATGGCCCTTTTGGCCAACTACCTTCGCTTTACCCTTATCCTTATTTTTGGTATAAACATGATTCATCCTTTCTCTCCACGCTTTCTTCTTCCTTCCTTCGGATTTGATACCCTCCTCAATTTCCTGCTTCACGTCACCACAAGGAACACAAGTAATAGTCGGGTTCGCCTTGACTGGCTCGCCTCCACTTCCAATCATACCATTCAAGTCAATTTCCTTCACATCATCATTCTTAGCCTTAGGATCAATTAAGAGAGTAAGTTTCTCCTCTCCATCTCTCAAAATCAGAGTTCCCTCGTTAACATCAATTAAGGCCATGGCGGTACCAAGGAAGGGGCGTCCTAGAAAGAGTGGCACATCCATATCTTCACTTATATCAAAGATAATTAAATCCATCGGATAGTATAATTTACCATATCTCATTGGAATGTCCTCCACAATACCTCTAGGAATAATGATAGAGCGATCGGCCAATGTGACACTAAGCCTAGTAGTCTTTAGCTCACCTAAATGAAATTTCCTAAAAAGCTTGTAAGGCATCACATTAATGCTTGCTCCTAAGACCGCCGAGGAGTTTTCTATATGATGTGTTCCGATGCATAGAGGTATAATGAAACTACCTGGGTCTTGTTGCTTCTTGGGCAACTTGTGAAGAATGAAGGTGGAGGACTCATCGCCCAAGGTGACATTAGCGAGGTCTTCATATCTTGGCTTCTTAGTGAGAAGCCCCTTGAGGTACTTGGCATACCTTGGCATGTGCGCCATTGCTTCCAAGAATGGAATTGTAATGCAGAGCTTCTTGAGCATCTCCATGAACCCGCCACATTCTGCCTCCAATCGGTCCTTGTGCATCCTCGTAAGGAAAGAAAGATGAGTCTTGTACTCTATCACTTGTGGTGGCATCGGCAATGCCTTCTTGGTCTCTTTTTCCTCCCTTTCCAAGCCTTCTTAATCATTGTTCGTTGGAGTAGTCTTCTCTTC